TATATATATTATATATAATAAGTATATATTATAATATATTATATATTATAGTATATATTATATTATATTATATATTGTAGTATATAATATAATATATTATATTATATATAATATGCATTATAATATATTATTATAATATATTATATTATATATTATAATATGCATTATGATATATTATTATATTATATGTTATAATAAGTATAAATATAATAAGTATAATAAGATAATAAAAAGATTTAGTATATATATATACAATGGAATACTACTCAGTCACGAAAAAAGAATGAAATAATGCTATTTGGAGCCACACTAGAGACTATCATACTAAATGAAGTAAGTCATAAAGTGAAAGACCAATATCATATAATATCATTTATATGTGAATTCTAAAATATGACACAAATGAACTTATATATGAAATAGAAACAGACTCATAGACACAGAGAACAGACTTGTGGTTGCCAAGAGGTAGGGGTAGTGGGGGAGGGACAGACTGGGAGTTTGTGATTAGCAGATACAAACTAATATATATAGAATGGATAAACAAAAAGGTCCTACCATATAGCACAGGGAACTATATTCAGTGTCCTTTAATAAACCGTAATGGAAAAGAATATGCAGAAAGTATGTGTGCATATAATATGTATGTATAACTGCATCACTTGGCTGTATAGCAAAAATAAACACAGCACTGTAAATCAATGAAAAAGTAAACTGAAAAAAATTTACTTGGAGCTAGGTCCCTTTTGATCCTCCTTAAGAGTAATTACTAGAAATGAAATTGCTGGTGCAAAGAATCATTGCATATTAGAATTTTGATATATTTTGAGATCATCTTCCAGAAAATTTGCACCAATTTATGCCACCTCCAGACACTTAAAAGTACTAATTTTTCTGCATTCCTGCTTGGGTATGTTAATTTGGCTACGAGATATATTAAAATAGTTCATTGCTTAAGTTTACATGACTTTAATTCCAAATAAATTTGAGTCTTTTTAAATAAGCATATTAGTCATTGTATTTCTTCATATCTTTTATTTATTCACCTATTGTGTAAATCTTTACTGATTTTGAAGACTCTTTAGTTGTTAAAAAAATAGCAGTCCTGTGCCTTATACGTCTCAAGTATCTCCCCAAGTTATGATATGCTTTTTGAAATTTTATAGCTATATTTTTAAAATATAGCTTTGAATAGCTTTTTTTTAACCCTGTGATTGTGTTATATAACTCAAAGTTTAGGCAGAAGGAAATTCTTCTTTATAGAGTTATTTAATTTATTTTTTCCTTTGTGGAATATAATGATCTTTTGTTCTGCTTTCTGCTTTTAGAGAACAGAGTATCTGTTGGCCAAAGCCTCCAGAAATGAAATATAGGGAGAGTAAAGCTGTAACTTTATGCACAAGTGATGTTGCTGACTTGTTGATAGATTTTGTCACATAAATCCAAGATATAGATGATCTATGCTTATTTTATTTAGTCACTTAGGAATAGGAGAAGAAGGAAACAAAGAGAGTGGGTGGTAACGCAGCACTGATTTTAGCATCTTGCCTCTGTTTCTAAATCTCCTTTCAATTTTCCAATGATATTCAAAGGTCAGGATTTTGCTGAGAGCTGACCAGAATTAACTTCTATGTGTCAAATGGAAATTGGCTCAGAAGCTAGAGTGTAGTGGGAGGTATTACATCTTCTTCCAAGAGATGTTGGCTGAGAGGCTGCCTATTTATGTGCTATGAAGCTTTTCAGATTAGAAAATTAAATTATTTTATCTTTGGCTTTAAAGAATAAATGTGTATTTCCACGCTTTCTAGTCCTAAGTGACACCATACATACTTTCCTAAGTCATATTTTCACCACCACCTGAAAAATATTATTTCATTTTTTGTTGTCACAGTAAGAATTAGTCCTCTTGATGTTATAGACATTCAGCATTCAACACAATCTGGATAAAGAGTATTATGAGAATTGTAGTAGTTTAATTCAAATTGCTATGGAAAGTTCACTAAGGACACAACTTTCTAGATGTACACTGTCTAATGATGACCTTTTCACCAGACAGCTCCTATAACACCTCAAACACAGCGCATCTGAACTGTGGCAAATACAGCGTAAGATGACTTCCAGTGGGTCCTTCTCTCCCATTACCCTCTCTTTTTGAACACTGGCACAACTTGTGACTTGCTCCTGACCAATCAAATATGACAAAGGCAATGGGATTTCATTCTTTTGATTAAGCTATATCATATACCATGTTGTGCAAGATAGAGCTAGAAAATCTTCCATTAACTTTGAAGAAGCAAATGGCCATGTTGTGAACTTCCTACGGAGAGCACCATATGGCAGGGAACTCCTTTTAAGACCTGAAAGCAACCTCCAGCTAGCAACCAGTTAGAAGATTGGTTGCTGTTGCATTGTTCAGTCGCCTACCCAGTCATGTCTGACTCTTTGTGACCCCATGGACTGCAGCACGCCAGGCCTCTCTGTCCCTCACTGTCTCCTGAAGTTTGCCCAAGTTCATGTCCATTCCATCAGTGATGCCATCCAGTCATCTCATCCTCTGATGCCCTCTTCTCATTCTGCCCTCAATCTTTCCCAGCATCAGGGACTTTTCCAATGAGTCAGCTATTCACATCAGGTGACCAAAATACTGGAGTTTCAGCTTCAGCCTCAGTGCTTCCAATGACTATTCAGGGTTGGTTTCCCTTAAGATTAACTGATTTGATCTTCTTGTCGTCCAGGGGACTCTCAGGAGTCTTCTCCAGCACCACAGTTCAGAGACACAAAATTCTTTGGTTGGGACCCTCAGTTATTTAGCCACCAAGAAACGAATTCTGTCACAAACCTGAAAAAGCTTGGAAAAGTGGATCTTGCACAGGGAGGCCTCCACAGCCTGATCAACACCTCAGTTATAGCCTTGTGAGCTCCTGAGAAGAGAATCTATTTAAGTCATGTGCAGACTACTGATCACAGAAACTGTGAGATAATAAAGACAAATTTCTTTAAACTGCCAAGTTTATAGGAATTTGGTATATAGGTTATAAAACTAACATGCAAACCTAAACTCATTGCTATCTTTCCTAGGCTTTATACAGACATACACACAGTACAACTTTATTTTCCCCTTGAAATCACCTTTGATTCCCAAAGTCAAGCAGCTACCAAATCCTGCTGATTTATATTTAAATTATCTCATTTATGACTCTACTTGTTAATTTCCTCTTCTGTTTTTCTGACTTATATCCTCTTTACTTCCTACCTAGACCACTGGAGATCTTTTCCTTCCCTGGGCCTTTACTGTATCTTTGTCCTGTGCAATGCTGGCACAGTACTCTACCCAAAACAGTGCTTCCCAGTGCATCTTTTACAGATACCAGCTCCACGAAATTCCCACATGAGTATAAGCTCCAGGAGGGGAAGAAAGGAGGCTACTGGTCCACCACTATATATCCCATTTTAGGCTCTCTTTTTTACTCAAAGTCATCTTGATTGAGATAATAATGTGAAGTTAGTGGGTGGTGGATAAGGTGCTAATGTGTGAGAATATTAGCTCAGATAACCAGGTAGTTTTCATAATTCAAGCTTCCAGAACAACAAAGGAAGTGAACTGGGAGGAAGTTTATAAACTTGTGAAGCTGAATATTCTTGATTTTTTTTTGTTATTAAACCACTGCAGTTTGCCAAGTCCTTTCACCCTGATTGTAAATCCCAAAGGGAATCCAATCCCATGTGTTTCTGATTAGTTTGCAGTTGAATTATCCAAAAGTTTTGTAAGAGCCATTTGAAGTACAAAAAACTTTGTAAAATAAATCTTTTAAATTTAAATTTTTATTCATTTATTTTTGTTTGCTCTTGGTTTTAAGGGGAGAAAGAGTTAGCGGTCTATTGAAGAAGTGTATTGAGAAGGAATATTTTGAGTTAGAATCAGGCCCATGAAGAAATCTTAAAATCTCACAAAATGATCAAATTAATTCTTAAAACTTAAATCTGTTGTTTATATCGAGTGTGACACAGTAAAATTTCTTGATTTTTGGAAATTAACTTCTGCCTATAATTAAAATCCACATATTTTTAGTAAATATAGCATTTATATAGTATTAGATTTCAAAATATATTTGTTTTCTTTCTAGATTAGAGATTATTTTAGATGCTTGGTTGTATATCATTGACTGTTAATGTGATCTTTTCTTCATTAAACGAGTCATGAGAATGTCCAAGAGCAGAGAAAGCAAAGCAGTAGTAAGCAAAACAGAGATTACCAAGGTTATCAATCTGTCTAAAGGACTTAAAAGTTAAGTATAAAATTATAATATATATCTCAAATTGATAAGATATATAATCAAATTATGATACGTGTGCAGTAATATCATGTACTAAGTAAATTTGAAATTGAATGACTGTTTATAATAATAAAAATTTGTAGAATTGATACATTTAAAGTGAAAGTCACTCAGTCATGTCCGACTCTTTGCAACGCCATGGACTGTACAGTCCATGCAATTCTATAGGCCAGAATACTGGAGTGGGTAGCCTTTCCTTCCTCCAGGGTTTCTTCCCAACCCAGGGATCAAACCCAGGTCTCCTGCATTGCAGGCAGATTCTATACCAGCTGAGCCACAGGGAAGCCCAATACATTTAAAGAAGCATTGCAAATGTATTTTATCATACAGAAAGCACACAGACTAGTGAACTGTTCTGAAAAACTCCATTTTATCTCATTTGTTTGCTAAGTTTCAGCATTTCAGATCCCTGACTGAGGGTGCTTAGTATGCCATTGTGCCTGGAACTTAGGGAGTGGTCATCTCACCCCATTGACTCTGTTATAGAATGTATTTGGTCCAGATTTACACCACTGCATATTGTATCTAAATATAATGGCAGATTTCATGTATAATGAGAACAATAACTTACAATTATGAAATGGAATTCTTATGAAACATTATTTCTTAATGTTCTGAATTTGATGCCAGCAAACATCCAGGATTGGAAAATACCTCTTAGTGCACAACTCTCTATTCTTATTGTGAACCATCACCTATTACATTCAGTACCTCTTAATCTGGCACAAAGGATCTCAGTGCTATCATTAATTTTCAATGAAATTCATGCTTACCATATTCTATAAACTGACCAGGATTTTATAGAACATGTTTGATTCCTTTGGGAAACATGTTTATTTTTGGGGTTTCTAAGTAGATAGATTTCTGCAGTTGACTAGCAGTTTGCCAAGAAGTTTCTGAAATCTAGCTGTTTTTAAAAGGCCAAAAGAGTGGTGTAAATTGTTGACCATCTGTTAGTTTTCTTATAGAGAAATTACTATCTCGGGTAGAGCAAAGTGGACAATGAATTCTTAGGTGCAATCTGGTTCTAGTATTCTATTATTCAAGCACCTCAGATTCACTTATTATTTCATGTAACTCATAGAAATTTACTTTGGGACTAGCTATGCATAGATTTTTGTCTTTTGGGATACATAAATAGACTTCTCAAGCCTACTTCTCTACTTTTGCTAACATTTCTTACTAATATCTGATGATCAAATGTTTTTTCAAGAGTAGGAAGATAATACTTTCCATGTCATGTTAGGCTTAAAATATAAATCCCTTAGGGAGAGAATATACACCAATTTAAATTTCCACTGAGGTAATAACGACTGAGCCTGTTCAGTGAGCAGATTGTGATAGCAATTGCTAGATACTCCTTAAGGTGTGAGGAAGGACAGACACCTCACAGGGGAAGGGGAGCCACAGAGAAGAGCGTATGGGGAGCTTTTCTCTTTTAGAGTTGGTCTGTCTAGTTTTATGCTTCCTACAGACAGAAAAGAATTACATTCTATCCACAACTTTAGACTTGATAGTTAAGTACTTCCAAAATGTAGGAGAATACCCTTAAGTGGATACAGTACAATATTTATCTCTACAAATTTTAACATTCTTTCATTATTTTCATTAAGTAAAAAAGTGTGATCAACCTACAGATATTTAAGTTTAGCAATGAATTACTACAAGAAATGTAAGAAGTAAAAAAGGCAACAGCTATTTTAAATAACACATAAGGAAAGGGAAAGCTAATCTTGGAAATAAATTGCCATTCTAATGCATTAAAACCAAAATTGTATTTTTTGCATCAAATTAAAAAATGTTTTATCCAAATTAATTTGTCACAACATCTACACTTATTGACACAAATTAGACTATTGTTTAATCAGAAAAAAATAATAGTAAATACTGATTTTTCATGTACAGTAATAATATTATAGGCATAGGGATGAATTGGTTTCTGTTTGTTTCAACAGGCCATTTATGACCCTATTAGGAGATGTTTTACGGGCGTTTCTTAGCATTTTGAACAAAATATTTGTACTTCTACTGAAAATAGCTTAATATGAAGTCCCAAAGGAATCCTGTCTGCCTTATAAAATTGCTTTCAGAGTTTTGAATTTCTGGTCTCCTCCTTCCAAATGCATAGTGGGTATACATTCTAACTCCAAATTCAAGTTTTGGAGAAATAGTATATTTCCCTTCCTAAATATTCACCCAATTCTTTTCATTGGTCAATTTGCTACATTGAAATGTGTAACCTCTTCATCCATAGTTTTTAAATGGTGAAATATAAGTGAATTCCTTACTCTGTAATTCCTAATACAGTCTCTACAACTTCCCTTTTCATACATAAAGACACATGTACATCCTTTTACCACCAGCTATATACCAACCTGAGAGGCCATGCACTAAGTTGAAAGTGTGGCATTAAATTCTTGCTCTACAACTTGCCAACTGTACAACCTTTCAGCAAATTTCTTATCCATTGTAACAATTCCAACTCTTGGTCTATAAAATTGCATCATAGTAGCAACCACCAGATACAGTTGCCCTGGGGACAGTCATCAGTGAACTGTGAGACAATGAATGTGAAGTTGGCAGCATAGTCCCCTGCATGTATAAAATGCTGCATGTATAAAATGCTCTCTCTAACTTTTAGAAATTTTTTCCCTAATATTAATTCATCCCCTTCATGGAGTTTGTTAACTACATCCTATTTTGCTAAAACAACCTCTCTGTTTACCTAATAAAATATAATCTTGTGCAAATATAAGAATTACAGACTGAATGTCAATTCGTGACCAAGTACAGGATATACTGAGGCCATTATCTGGTGAATACAGTGTATATAGATAATATAGGTAGCCAATCTAAACAATTTATTGAGATAAGTATGAATAAAATGAACTGTCTGGGAAAGTGTGTTTAAAATTTTTTTTGAAATCGGATACTATATAATGTCAGGCAAATCATAGATCCAAGTCTAAATAACTTCCAAGACCTACCTTCTACAGTTCTCATATGATATACATATTCCTCATTTTCCTTTTACTTTTAACTTTTTGTGTCCTTATACTTAAAGTGGGTTTCCTTTAGGCAGCATACAGTCTGTCAACCTCTGCTTTTTATTTAGAGTGCTTATATCATTTGCAGTTAAGTCTACCTGGCGGCCCCCCTATACTCTGTACAAGGATCTTAACTGGCACGGGCAGCATTGGAGAGTAGACAGTGAAAAAAATTTTGCTAATGTGTTCTTCAATAGCAGCATTTTACAGCAGAAAAAAGTCAGAGGCAGTAGTGAAGTCATCGAGCTTTCTAGTAATCTTTCAAACTGGCATTGGGAAGCAAGTTCCTTTAGAAGTAAGTAATCTTGTAGACTGCTTGGAAACATTTTGTCTGTTGGAGGAAGTGTAAAGTTAGAATATAGGAATAGAGAGAGGATGTGGCTTTTCAAAAGTGTAATACTAAACTTTCTGATTAGAGTGATTGAGGTTATTAAACTAGAGAAGTAAAATAGACATAACTATATTTGTCTCTGTATATGAGTTATAGAATATACAAGATGTTTATCTTAAGTTTTGATGACAAAAATATAGCCATGCTGTGAGTACAGTTTTTAACTTATTTTTATTAATAAAATAAAGATACATTTTTCCCACTGAATTAAATAATTTTCTATAATGTAGTTTTCTATGGAGCCATAATTGTCTATTGTATGATTATACCATGAGGTATAGGACAGTTTCTCTTTTGATGAACACTTAAGACATTTTTTTCTATTTAACAAAAAAATCCCTGTGATATATGTATATATATACATATGTAAATAATATATAATAATATATAAAATAAATATACATTTATGTCCTATGAATATATACATATATGTGCACACAAGATGCATGTATAAATTATATATATATAACATATATATTTATGACAATATCTTTCATATGCATTCAGGAATATTCATTTAGGATAACTTTCTAGACATAAAACTTGAAGCTTCTGAAATATATATTGAATATAGGTTACTTTTATTTGAATGAGAAATCAGAAGAAATTAAATAAATTTAGTGTTAGAACTGTAGAAGGTAGATTTTAAAGAAGCTATTTCTGCTGCTGCTGCTAAGTTGCTTCAGTCGTGTGTGACTCTGTGTGAGCCTGTAGATGGCAGCCCACCAGGCTCCACAGTCCCTGGGATTCTCCAGGCAGGAACACTGGAGTGGGTTGCCATTTCCTTCTCCAATGCATGGAAGAGAAAAGTGAAAGTGAAGTCGCTCAGTCGTGTCCAACTCTTAGTGACCCCATGGACTGCAGCCCACCTGGCTCCTCCATCCATGGGATTTTTTGGCAAGAGTACTGGAGTGGGTTGCCATTGCCTTCTCCAGAAGCTATTTAGACTTGAATAAATGATTTGCCTGACATTAGATAAATTTTTCTTTTTCAGAATATATGATCCTAGACTCACAACTCTTCTGTTGTCTTTTTTTAAGTTCTCTTTGTCATAGATAAGTTTCTTTTTTTTTTTTCTGATAAGCATTCAAGCAATAATGATCACTGCAACAGGGAAAAAAGGGTGTTTTTATCATCTCCATTACTAATTATTGTCTAGGAAGCTTTAGTCATTTTAATAAAGCAGAAAAAATAAACATGAGAGTAACAGAACAAGTAGGAGATTTTATATATATAATTATTTTAAGGAGTTGCTCACACAATTGTAGAGGTGGCGAGTACAAAATCTATAGAGCAGGTTAGCAGACTGGGGACTCATAAAGGAAGTGATGTCCTAATTTTGTGGCAGAATATCTTCCCCATGAAAACTTCATTTTTGCTCTTAATGTCTTTCAACTGATTAGATGAGGTCCATCCATTTTATAGGGGTGTTCTTTATTTAAAGTTAACTGGTGACACATGCTAGGCATGTCTTACCTTCATACCTTCATAGAAGTATCTAGATTAGTATTTGATTAAATAACTGTGTACTCTAGCATACACACACACACACACACATATTTATTTTATATTCTTTATATATTTTTTATTTTCCCTTCAGAAGAGTTAATGATATTTAACTCTATATCTTGGTATTTAAGAGAGATTTATCGAGGAAAGAATATAACTGGAGTAAGCATCACTCGGAGATGGGTAAACTGAAGGTTTTGTTTTCACTTTTATTAGTGAGATTGAGCATATCTTTAGTTAGGTAGAAGTATAATACTGTTGTTATCTTTAGTCAGAAGTTAATATCGGTAAAAGGTTAAGTGGAAACTGGATTGACAATGGTGTGGATACAGCTCAATTCTAAGCTGTCAACTTTGCAGTATTCCCATTTCTAAGGAATTAGACTTTCAGGAATCCCTTTCTCTAGTTTGTTGATCTCATGCGACGAGCTCATCTAAGTTTTGGAAGACAGGATGGAGAAGGCATTATTCTAGGGATGTGTGGTGGCCAGATGTAGTGGCTTTGTAGATATTTCCATGAACTTATCTTTGAGGTCATGGCGACCTGATGTGGCAGCTTCATAGAATTTACTGTCAGCTAACATTTCATAGCTACATAGTGTCATAGTGACAGCCAGATGCAGCTTCTCAGACTTTCCTCCAAGCTGTAATTTCTCCAGTCTGTTCTAAGTTGTTGGGGAGAAGTGATTAGTGATTAAGCCTCCAATCCTTTGACTGTACTCCTCAAACTGCCTTCCTCATTTGTGTAAGCCCTAATTCCTATATTAAATTCCTTTTATTCTGGTAATGTTGTAGTGCATCTGTGTTTACTGATTTTGCCTAGACTGCTGCATAAGCTGAAATTCAATAACTATTCAGTGGATTATTTATGCAAAAATGGGCAGGTTAAAGCTATAGAATAAACAGTTCATGGTGATTGTGGCTTAGTCATTAAGTCATGTCTGACTCTTTGTGACCCCATGGACTGTAGCCCACCAGGTTCCTCTACCCATGGGATTTTCCAGGCAAGAATACTGGAGTGAGTTGCCATTTCCTTCTCTAAACAATTAATAAGTAACTCTTAATAGAATTCAGTATATAGCAAAGCTAGCAATCCAAATTATAAAATAAAGGCAATATTATTTAATAAATGGTAATAAGATATTTGGTTAAATATTTGGAAAAAATGATAGACACTTAGAAGTTTGGTTAAAAATTTTTTCAATAAACTAAAGAGTTAAATTAAAAAATTAAGTTAGCAGAAATTAGAAATAAATATTTGTTGTTTGAGGGAAAGAAATGTTTTTATGGCATCAAAGCAAGGAAAATATTAATATATGTAGGAAAATTTTAACATAATAACTTTCAGTTCAGTTCAGTTGCTCAGTCATGTCCAACTCTTTGCGACCCCATGAACCACGCACGCCGGGCCTCTCTGTCCATCACCAACTCCTGGAGTCTACCCAAACCCATGTCCATTGAGTCAGTGATGCCATCCAACAATCTCATCCTCTGTTATCCCCTTCTTCTCCTGCCCTCAATCTTTCCCAGAATCAGGATCTTTTCAAATGAGTCAGCTGTTTGCATCAGGTGGCCAAAATATTGGAGTTTCAGCTTCAACATCAGTCCTTCCAATGAACACCCAGGACTGATCTCCTTTAGGATTGACTGGTTGGATCTCCTTGCAGTCCAAGGGACTCTCAAGAGTCTTCTCCAACACCACAGTTCAAAAGCATCAATTCTTCGGTGCTCAGCTTTCTTTATAGTCCAACTCTCACATCCATACCTCACCACTGGAAAAACCATAGCCTTGACTAGACAGGCTGTGTTGGCAAAGTAATGTCTCTGCTTTTTAATATGCTGTCTAGGTTGGTCATAGCTTTCCTTCCAAGTAGTAAGCGTCTTTTAATTTCATGGCTGCAGTCACCATCTGAAGTGATTTGGGAGCCCCAAAAAATAAAGTCAGCCACGGTTTCCACTGTTTCCCTATCTATTTCCCATGAAGTGATGGAACCGGATGCCATGATCTTAGTTTTCTGAATGTTGAGCTTTAAGCCAACTTTTTCACTCTCTCTTTTACTTTCATCAAGAGACTCTTAGTTCTTCTTCACTTTCTGCCCATAAGAGTGGTGTCATCTGTATATCTGAGATTATTGATATTTCTCCCTGCAATCCTGATTCCAGCTTGTCCTTCCTCCAGCCCAGGGTTTCTCGTGACGTACTCTGCATATAAGTTAAATAAGCAGGGTGAGAATATACAGCCTTGATGTACTCCTTTACCTATTTGGAACCAGTCTGTTAATATGAAATGTAAAAAATATACTAATTTTTGCCATAATATGGCTATTGTTTTGTACTCTACCTAAGGATCAGCAAAGTCTTTCTGAAAGAGGCAAGATAGTAAATATTTTAGGTTTTGTAGGATAAAAGGAGAATCACTGGATATTATGTAGGTAAATATGTAACAAGGGAGAGAACAAATTTCCACAAATATTTTACTGACAAAATTAAAAATATAATGATAATAATTGAGTAT